TTTTTTTTTTTTTTTTTTTAAGTATGAAAAGTATTCATTTGAGAACTATAACAGACAGATTCGACCTTCGTATTTGATTAAAAGTCATGTTTTTTTTTTCGGTTTATGATCGATCATGTTTGACATTTTGTAATTGAATTTTTGTTTATCGAACTATATATAGTTTAGGAGTCGGAATAGAAATAACTGGTATTTTGTGCCTTGGTTTGGAAATTTGAGTCGATTAGGAGTCGGAATAGAAATAACTGGTATTTTGTGGCCTTGGTTTGGAAATTTGAGTCGATTAGGAGTCTGAATAGAAATAACTGCTATTTTGTGGCCTTGGTTTGGAAATTTGAGTCGATTAGGACTCGGAATAGAAATAAATGGTATTTTGTGGCCTTGGTTTGGAAATTTGAGTCGATTAGGACTCGGAATAGAAATAAATGGTACTTTGTGGCCTTGGTTTGGAAATTTGAGTCAATTAGGAGTCAGAATAGAAATACCTGATATTTTGTGACCTTGGTTTGGAAATTTGAGTCGATTAAGAGTCGGAATAGAAATAACTGTTATTTTGTGGCCTTGGTTTGGAAATTTGAGTCTGAGTTAGAAATAATCGATGCTGGCTTTGGTGGGAATGTTGATATTCGAAATTTGATATTCATTGATGAGGGAAGTCATCTTAATATAACCAATAGTTTCTAGTTTCATCTAGATAAATAAATTACGTGTGCCAATTGTTTAGTAGTAGTAAGTACTATAAAATACAAACTTTATTATACATTAAAAACGTAGAGCCAAAAACTATCATTTTCACATATTATTTTGTTGTTGCAATACGGATATTTTACACAGATTCTTCATTTTTGTATATATTATTTTCAAATTCAATAATATTAATGACACCAAGTAAATTTAGCCACATTAATATTAGTACATATTCAGAGAAAAAATGAAGTCCACTAATTAGAAAATATGCAAAATATCAAATATTGGATATTCTCACAATGTTGATGATGGAAAAGGGAAAGAAAACTGAATAAATAATAAATAGTCCATAGTAAGAAAAATTATGAGAGCAAAAAAGTTTCACAAACCAAATGCAGGTTAAATATAGAAGCTTGATGGAGTTCATATGCATTAATTCTACAAATCCTGCACGCTCAAACCTACAACAAATTGAAACAAAACAACATGCTAAGTCAGATCAACAATTTGGAAAAAAAAGGAATATATATTAGTGACACAACTAACACTTCAATCTATCTGAATGTCAAATGCTTCAGTAACAATTTAATAATCAAATCATTCACACAGTATTGTAAATTATAAAAATGCTGTTGGTGTGTGAAAGGATGATTACAAGAAACTCCACTCGGGTCTGGCCAATTACAAGTATAAACTTTCATATTTATTTAAAGTTGTAATAGTGAAACAATATTCAATAGGGTGTTTTTCCGCAGTCTTCTTCCAACAACTACGCTAAATATGAGGGACGGTTCTGATAAATAGACTCGTACAAGTAATAAAAGTACTTGCAACCTCATCAACGGTCAATAAATTATCCAAGCAAAGAATTAACAGCACAAAAAAAAAAAACCTGGTGGGAGGGATTGCTTCAACTTGTTAGCTTTCTCTGTATCAAACACACAGAGTGTGTAAAGGTACTTTGAGCATCGGACCTTGAACTTCACAGCATCTTTGCTCCTCTTTATTTTCACCGAACGTGCGTCTTTCCTCCTTGCAGTTAGAAGGAAATCCTTGATCTCATGGATTTGCTTCGGCTTCAAATGCATCATTTTGGTATATCACCGTTAATGGATCAAGCAAACGTTCAAAGAAAGTAAACATTTAAAAAGCAATAGCAATATAGCATGTTATTAAATAAAATGGACATAACTTATGTGGGCGATCTAAAATTAATGTGATAAGAATTCTATTCTATTAACTTGATAAATGTTTTAAGATCAACAAATCACCACAACCGAAACAAGACAACGAATCACCTTCACACGACCAATTGACGGCTCGATATGAAATTTTGGAATGTATCGAACATATTATTGCATACTAATTATGATTCGCTCATTTCTTGAAATCAAAAGTAATGGGTGTTGTAAGATCAACAAATCACTGTAACCCAAACCAGACAATGAATCACTCTGATGACCGGTTGTCGCCTGAGAATGTATTTTAATGTCACAAAACAGTCATTGGAAACTAATTAGAATTAATTCTTTTCTCTCAATCATCAGCAGCGCAGCTACACAGTGCAAACACATAATTTCTCCAATCACTCAATGAAACACACACAGAACCACGAAAACCAGAGAAAAACAATGTCAAAATTATTCTCTGCAATAATGTAGTCAAGATAACAACTCATACAATTCGTCACCTCTTCAATTTGTTCAGGTGAGCATCATTTTAATGCTTGGCAAAAAAAAAAAATGGACATTCGTATGATGATTCAAATTTCGAACTGATCTCCATTAACAACACATCGAAAATACATATACATAATGGGAGAAAAAAAAAAAACAAAAAAAAAACTGTAATGGCTCAGGATATGAAAGAAAGTACCATGTTTTCGCCTGGAGCTGGAGCTGGAGTTTTGCTTTTCTCTTTGAAACATCCTAAAACCCTAGCTCGCCTTATGTAGGAAGATTTTCATCCAAGGCCTCCATGGGCCAGACAGAATATCAGCGGGCTAGCCTATTTAATATGGGCCAGTTGGTCCAACGTACTGATATTAACAAAGCCCATTGGACAGTTTCATTCATTGCACAAAGGTGAAGCGAGTGATTTATTTATTTAAAAAACAAAAAAAACAAGTGGACAAAAACAAAAACAAAAA